AAATCGCAGATCCGTTTAGTTCTCTTGTGTAAGTTTATTGAGTTCTCTGTCATATGCTTGCTAGTACTCAGTCATGAGTTTCTTTACATTTTATTCATTAAATTTATACAGTTATCAGTCATACGTTTTATGCTTCTTACTCACATGTTTATTCAATTCACAATCATATGTTTATTTAGTTCCTAATCGTATGATACTTAGGGTTTCGTCACATGTTAACTCAATTTAGAGCAATAGATTTGTGTAGATTGTTTTAGCCTTTTACTTGCATAGTTCTTAGTTCATGTACGTTTTGCTAAATGTTTTATTGTTCCAGTTATCTGTTTATTCAGTGCTTAGTGTTTGTTCTCATTCACATGTGTGATAACTCTAGGTTTGTAAAAGCTATCACTTACACAATGAAGTGTGCTGTGTACCCAGAAATGAGTCACAGTTCGTTGAGAAGGTATAGGTCACATGCAGAACAATAATCACAATGGAACCCATGAAATGATAGAAACAGTCTGGCATGTACAGTTTGGCACTCATAGATTTAAAAAAAAAAAAGAAGTAAAGATAGGACACTCTAGACACCACAACAATCAAAATCTATAGTTACCATGTCGAGAAACAAACCTGTCACCTCCAAAAGAAGAGAGCGCCTTGTTTGCATTGAATCTATGTGTGTCAATCAATGGACTTCCATATGTTAAACTCTGAGATCTGTTGCCGTCGACAACATAGAAATAGCTCGGCAAGATGGCAGATACACTGTAAAGTGTGTTATAGCTAAATATTCCTCATATGTTCGTTGGGATAACAGTCGGATTTCTTACAAGTATGTGATTTCATAAACAGTTCTTGGCGGTTTCTGTGTGGGTTTTATTCAGCTTGAGTTCAGAAAGCCGTCATGAAACATAATTGTTTTTTGTTGCTGTGTTGAGTTGCTGCAGTGACACTTTTTTGTTGGCAGTTGTGTTGAGTTGCTCAGTGACACTTTCTGGTTGGCAGTTGTGTTGAGTTGCTGCAGTGACACTTTCTTGTTGGCAGTTGTGTTGAGTTGCTCAGTGACACTTTCTTGTTGGCAGTTGTGTTGAGTTGCTGTAGTGACACTTTCTTGTTGGCAGTTGTATTGAGTTGCTCAGTGACACTTTCTTGTTGGCAGTTGTGTTGAGTAGCTCAGTGACACTTTCTTGTTGGCAGTTGTATTGAGTTGCTCAGTGACACTTTCTTGTTGGCAGTTGTGTTGAGTTGCTGTAGTGACACTTTCTTGTTGGCAGTTGTGTTGAGTTGCTGCAGTGACACTTTCTTGTTGGCAGTTGTGTTGAGTTGCTCAGTGACACTTTCTTGTTGGCAGTTGTATTGAGTTGCTCAGTGACACTTTCTTGTTGGCAGTTGTGTTGAGTTGCTGTAGTGACACTTTCTTGTTGGCAGTTGTATTGAGTTGCTCAGTGACACTTTCTTGTTGGCAGTTGTATTGAGTTGATGTAGTGACACTTTCTTGTTGGCACCAACAAAATAGGATATAAGAGTTTCTACATATGATGTTATGGATCTGAGTAAGGTCTGTTTCTGACAAAGTCACCAAGCTCCTTACTGACGGGATGGGCACATCTTGCGATCTCAGACAACGTGTGTCAGGTGGTTACAGTAGCACTTGTCCAACTCATGACGAGAGGTTAAGAATCGTCTCTCATTGTTCTACACTACCTCTCTTTATACAATATGTTCAAGCTTTTATCTACGCATACTGTGACACCTCCACCCCCCCCCCTTTTTTTTTTTTAATTTTTTGTTATCCTAAATAATTAAGGTGACTCCCTTATAATGACTCATATCCTTAGACACTCAACAGAAGAATAACTGTAGGTTTCTCTATAGATAGTGCGTTTCATCTGCAGTCTCTTAGTTTGATCTGCAGTCTCTTAGTTTGATCTGCAGTCTCTTAGTTTGATCTGCAGTCTCTTAGTTTGATCTGCAGTCTCTTAGTTTGATCTGCAGTCTCTTTGTTTGATCTGCAGTCTCTTAGTTTGATCTGCAGTCTCTTAGTTTTATCTTCAGTCTCTTAGTTTGATCTGCAGTCTCTTAGTTTGATCTGCAGTCTCTTAGTTTGATCTTCAGTCTCTTAGTTTGATCTTCAGTCTCTTAGTTTGATCTTCAGTCTCTTAGTTTGATCTGCAGTCTCTTAGTTTGATCTTCAGTCTCTTAGTTTGATCTGCAGTCTCTTAGTTTGATCTTCGGTCTCTTAGTTTGATCTTCAGTCTCTAAGTTAGATCTTCAGTCTCTTAGTTTGATCTTCAGTCACTTAGTTTGATCTGCAGTCTCTTAGTTTGATCTTCAGTCTCTTAGTTTGATCTATGGTCAGTGAATTGTGTTATGTAAACCACTGAGTTACTTAATTTTTAAATCCATATTTTAATTTAACAAAGCACAACAAACAAACACCCTGTCTCAGAGGACAAACAATTTGACTAGATTGTTATCTACACTTTACCAGCTATATATTTATTGGTGCCTGTGATAGGAGCAAAGAATAGTAGCAGTGTAAGCCACCATGCATGTCGTAAGAGACGACATAATCTCCTTAGAATAATGTATCCGCAACATCCGATCAATCACGAACAAGCCTATGACGTGCGTGGTATGAGTTTGCCTGAGGTCCTATGATTCGTTAGAAGTAGCTGTCATTTAAAAAACAACTTCCTTTTCAACACATCAAAGCTATAATTGGGGTATATAGAGATTTTTTTTTTCTGTTTCAGTAATGGATGTTATGCCTATCTAGTATGTTTTGTTATTCATATTTCATAGCCTATGTACTAACTGTAAAAGATTATAGGAGTGCAGATTGCCAGGCTCAATATATTTTAAGCGGACTTTCAAACAATGACATTAATTATCTGGTGTCATCTTTCGTTGGGGATATTGAAAGCGATGCGGGATACCATTATTCTGTCTCAAGACATATTAGCATCCCGTATGCTAACCCCTGTTCTCGTAATGTACGGCTTAATTCTCTCTCTTCCCCCCCCCCCCCGTTCTCTACAGCCATCTATTCCCAGTGTTTTTACTATGGCCATAGGCCTATTGCAGCCAATTATATATTTATAAGGGAAGTCCTTTGGGTGTCATATTTCTTGCAGCATAGTCACTAATGTTCAATATTTTGTATCTGACATACAGAACAGATATCTTCTGCTATAGGGAAATAATTCACTCCAGGTTGCAGTCTTAGTCATTTCTTACAACAGTGGATTTTTTTCTCTCTCTCCAGTTTTCTTGTTATTTGATATTTTTAAGTTGGAGCTTCAAACTGTAACAGGCATTTCTTCCCTTTAAGCGTCCATTCTTAATCCCTGCCCATTCTTCCGTTATTAACTGGAGATTAAAAGGGGCATCAACATAAAGACAAATTAGAACAAAAAGAAAACCATAGTGAATTTATGGCAGACATATTCAAAAGGAGCTTCTCCCCACCCTCCCTTTTTTTAAATCTGGTTTTACCTTTGTTGACTACTTAACTACATCTATTGACACGACAAACAACGCGGGAAAACGCCGATTCTGCAGATTGCCGAAGATAGCAGAATGGAAAATTTGCAGGGGGAGTTCTCTAACATGAAAGTCTGCATAAATACAGCTGTACACGGTCTTTAGTTACCGAACACCTGATAGAAAGTGTGTTTACTTTCTTAACTGTAAATCGAGATGCACGGAAAAAAGTATTCCCCCTACAACTGATAGAACACAGCTAGATCCCTGATCTTTCCAGGCGTTAGAACCTTGCCACAAACTCCCATAGATACATATAAACATCCCTTGACGCTTTTCCTCTGGTTGCTTATTGCAAACATAATTAGTTCAACGGGCCTGGTCTTGTTAAGCCTCCTATGGTAATTTTTTTCCTTCTCCCAGTATGAGAGCGATTCCCACGCTGGCTTGAAGCTTGGTTAACGAGACTAGACTGGCCCCTTCTGCAGTAATGTCGGCAGGGGAAACAATCTGATTGATTTCACTGCTGCTTCAAGCAGACGTAAGTAAGGCCTGTCAGTCTGGCCCTGAATTTCTCTTAGGACAACCTCTTGATATGTGTTTTTTAAAACTTCTTCAGATCCTGTTCCCTCATTCCTTCCCCGCACACTACCACTAGTGTGTATATATATATATATATATATATATATATATATATATATATATATATATATATATATATATATATATATATATATATTTGCATAGTTCCCCTTTCTTTATCGCTACCCACATCCGTTTTCCGTAAACATGTCTTCTCGTGTCACACATGTTTCACACCGTCCTTCCAGTTTCCACCAACAGAAACTTCCAATCGCCCAAGTCAGGGAATGAAGTTGCTGAAGAGTTCAAGTCTTGACATGTCCAGAGGCTGGTCTGGCGCACAATTTTGAATATAATAGCTGGCATGAAAGAAAACATAAGATTATTACTCTTTGTAGAGACGATACACACATTCACACTGACGCACACACACTTGCTATAAAACATGCACAGAACTCATGTGTAGTGTTGAAGTCAGGATTTCCTCGTGTGGGTTCTGGTACCTTATTGTGGGGAAAACAAGAACAAACCCACTGCCTTCTTACAAGCATGTCGTAGGAGGCGACTAATTGGGACTTCCTTTGAAGTCGGATTGCCTCTGCCCAAGTGACAAGGAACAACCAACTCACAAAAATACGCCAGTAAAGTGGATATACACTCAAAACGCAGGCTCTGACACAAGCCAGAGTTCTTATGGGCTAACATCCAGGACTTTCAAATGGAGCTTACAGCCGGTGAACAAAGAAGAAGAACAAGAACAAGAAGAAAAAGAAGAAAATCAACAACAACAACAACAACAACATCTGATTGTATCGACATCAAGGTTTTAATAATATGGACTTTTGACATATGCGCGGATACCTATGTTTGCTACTATCGTGATCATTATAATTGTATTGGTCATTTTGGATAATGAATTTCCTTTTTGTTTAAATTTCTTGCAGATTATGAGCCAGCTGGAGATGCGCAATTTCGATACTCCCTACGATCCAGAGGACACTGAGATGTCTGCACAAGAACGTCTTCTGTACAACAACAACTACAACAGCAACCACCAGAACCAACCTCTCCCTGAAGATGAGAACCACTACCAGCTGCCCTATGCCCACCTTCACCAAATCCCTTATTTGCACCATCAGCAGATGCTGCAGCAGCAGCAGAGCTCCTACAGTAGTGATGACCACAGCAGCATCTACACACCGCGTCACGCCAATGGCCACGGGCTTCCTTACCCACAGACCACGCTGCAGGACAAGTACAGTGTCGCCTACCCTGTTAGGGAAGACCTGACCAGACGGGGCAATAAAACCACCGGCTCGGGCATTGTGTATCGACCTGGCCGAAGATTGTTCTGGGTGGCTGCTGTGTTGGCGCTGCTGCTGTTGGTTCTAGCTGGTGCTGTGGTAACCGTGGTCTATTTCACCGTTCTCAGAAAGGACTCGGAGATGTCTTCGCCATCAGAAACCAACTACTTGTCCAAAAACCGCGATGATGTTCACCGTGAGAACGATATAGATCACGTCACCAAACAACCTAACTACAACATTCCCGGCACATTCACTTCTCCCTACCAGTCTCACCGATCGTTCATGCCTGACTCAGGAGATATCAAAATACAGAAATTTGATGCGTATTGGCACCCGGGAGATTCTCGACTCTTTGTTTCTACCCTCACTAACGGAACCATCATCCAAGTATTTGGACCTAAAAAAAGTGACGGAACTGTCAAATCAATGTACGCGCTCAGCATAACCGATATTAGCGGCATAACTAGATCTATACGATTTCTGGGTCAACGGAATCTGGCCTCTGTTATTCTGCCTAATGGTGTCATTGTGAACTACGACTGGTCATCCAACAACATGGATATGGAAATCAAAGTATTTGAACCATACACAGAGCAAACGAAGGGCCCTATTTCTCACCTGGCTCTGGTGGAGGTGGGTGTACGGTCATTTCTGTTAAGGCAAATATCCAAAGTGATGGAGGATCTGGTTTCTCTGCGGCAGGACCCTATGAGCGGTAGTCGTCGAAGCAACACTAGGTGTTTTTCACGGCTTCCGGTCATGGTAACCAAGTGTGGTGGTCAGTATCCGTACGATGGCGCTTTTGTCCAAGGAGTCATGACAGGAACCGAGAAGCCGGTCACCATGGCAGCTTTACCCTGGCCCAAGGAGCACGACCCATGTTACGAGCAGGATGCCGGTATTGTCTCTAATTATTACCTACCGGTACCGGGAATCATGGACAGCGACAATGCTACCATGATCAAAGAAGCTTACGTGGCCTCATCGGCACGCCTGTTCACCAAGCTCTGCAACATCATCAATGATCAGGTGTTCCAAGAACACCACAACCTCTGTTCGGATTTGGGAGAAAAGGTTCGAAAGAAGCTAGGACGTCACCAGTTGCTGGGTATCGTCTATGACAGCTGCAGTGCTATTCTCAACGCTCTTCACACCGCTTGTGTTGCCATCTCTGGGATGGCCTCCGCTGACAACATGCCGTCTCTTACTGAAAACGGACTTCTACGTAGCTTCACTCGTCGCCTCTCTGATAGCTTCCAACCTGGCATTTCCGGTCTGCTTGATCTCAAAGCACACGCATTCTGTCCTTCATCTCTTCCCCTAAGCTCGTATCAAAGTATCGTCGATATCCATAACGTTAGAAGCAATAGTCCCAATGACGTCATCAACATCAACTGCCCTGACTACCCTGAAGTCACTTACGTAGATCTTGACCACCTGCTCGCTAAGTCCGACGTTCAAACCTCTGCCAGCCACTTTGATTTGGTCAAACATAAGATGCGCGTCTGTTCTATTTGCGCATTTCAAAAGTCAGTCACTGCTCAGATTGTCTCGGACGAGATGCTGTGTAACAATACTTGTTTAAAGACAAACGTTCTGGAGCACATGCCAGACCTCTACAAGCCGGAGGCTAGGGACTTCACCGAGCAGGACAGCGTCTACTGCCACGACTTTCTCACTGGCGTAGAGAACACCATCGAGCCATTCGGCCATCAGTGTTTCGGCAACTGTATGTCTCACCTGCACGTCAAGTTCCAGATCAGAGATCCCGTAGACAACGTCCTCTACTATGATCAAACGGTTCAGTGCCCTGAGCTTACGAATAACTGGTGCAAAATGAAGTTCGGTAAATAAAATATGCACGGTTGGCTTTTATGTTTTCTTTCCGATTATGAGGTGTGATGTGGCTGGCAATGATAGGCAGGCAGCAATAAGCAAACAGAATACTGTTTTGTCCCTTTGGCCACCGCTTCAACCAAACAGAGCGTTAATACTTGATCGTCAACGTTCTGTTCCCGCATGCAATCTCAGGACAATATTGCAGTCTTGCTACAAGCACAAAATGACGTCAGAATGTACCTCACAAACCAAGCCAGCCCAAGAATAATGCTTCCTAGACAAGTATGCACACTGGAATTTAACACTGTGACAACTTGCTATCACCATGCATGTGTAACAGTTCCGCTCCGTTACGTTTTCTTGCTGCGACCTGAAGGTTTGACGCATACAAAATCTCGTTCTGGATGGCAAACCAGCAGGGCTGTTCCCGTACAGCTCGTTCAAGCTTCGGGGAGGGTATGGTTGGGCCACACTTGGATCATGTTTCATTTGATTTTCACTGGCACCTGAATGGAGCGAGTATGGGCTGACCCGGTTGTATTGAAACCTCGAATAAAACTAGGTAAACATTGATAATAATCAGTAACACTTGACTTCCTGATCAAAATAAATGGACCACGTTCGACACGCTTTCCCAGTTGAGGAGCTTTAGGTTATACTGTGGTTTTCGAATATGTGCGGCATACTCATGACTTACAACTGTTCGCCACCAAGTAGCCTGGGAAAGGACTCGTCCAGCGTTGATCTGTTGAACTAATCACTATTTTGACCGGCGACGAGGTCTAAATTTTGGATAGCCATCAGCCCATCTGGTCGCCAGTGGCATAACACTGTGACATCTTGGTCTGACAGTGCATGTTTCATTGTAGTTGGGACTTGCGATGCACAGGATGTTTTGCTTTTCTTTCCCAACCTCAGAGTTAATGGATGTTATGATTCAAATCGGTCTGCTGAATATTTCATTTGAATGTGTACGGTTCGATTATCCAAGGAACTAGATATATTATTCGGGCATTTATAAATGACACTGGTTTAGCCTTCAAATGTATATTGTTTACGGATTTATTTATTAGGAAAAGTAATATTAATACAATTGGATCCGCGGTAAGGAATCTGAGCCAAGGGAAGTAACTCACGAAAGGTGAAAACAATATTAATTACGTCCCTTGCTAAAGAGCGTGATGAATATTGTTCATATTTGGGGCACTCACTCCAGAGTCATGTTCGCCCCCTCTTACCGCATCTGGCACAGTCGACATCTCGTGCATTCCCGTAACTGTCGTGCACTGTGATTGTAATTTCGTCTAGAGGGCAACTGGTTGCTCATCATTTTGAACACTTATATTTCCAAGTTTTCGTACAATTAAGCTGTGTGGCTAGCTGCCGCAATGACTCTTCCAGTAAACCAACAGTGTAAATACATCTATGTCTGATGTCTGCCAATTTGTATAGACTAGTCATTACTGTATATTTGATTCTGCTGAAGTGATATCTGGTTGTTTTCTTTTTATAATAGACTGTGTTGACTTTTTATTTAATGGGTGTGTTTTTTTTGTTTTTTTTAATATATTATTAAATTAATTGAGGAATGAATATATTGACCTTTTCTGTGTAGATATGATAAATGCAAATTATTTTCGTAGTAATTGTTTATATTGTGTATAAAGCAGTTGATCAGAATGAATATCTATGCATTTATTATACAATTTGTAATTCTGTTTTCCTATGTACCCAACATTGTGACATCAAATAAAGATTAACACCCATCATTGTGCTAAAGGGTGACTGTCACCAGGCTGGACAATTATCAATCATGAGAATATTACATGCAAATGATTAACTGTCTAGTTGACTGGACTACTAGCTTTCTAGTTCATTAAATAAGAAACTCTATACTGAAATAAATAGGTAACTTTTTTGGAAGTAATAGTGCACATTTCTATTGAAATAAATGGGAAGCTCACTAGCGAAATCAATGTAAACTTGCTAGTGAAATAAAACATTAAATGGGAGCTTCCTTTGTGTAATGGTCCAGCATTTACCCTGTGCATTGAAGACTGTATGTTTGTTTCCAGACTGTACTGCTCAGTTCACAATAGTAATGTTTATTCTGGTAGTGACTGCCAGAGGTATGAACGTTCTGATTTCTGTGATGCTCTAAGCAAATGGTCATGTCCTCATTTAGAGAGTGGACTAAATCATAAAGGATCAAACCTGGTAAAATGAAGTCAAACATTACATCAATTTGCTTCCACAGATCATGGGACAAGAGGAAACCTGGCTAATATAAGATGATCAATATGTACAGAAGAATGCATGTGTGACTGCAAGAAAGATGGCAGTAAAAACAGTTGTGCGATCTTGTCAAGTTTATTAACTTCCACCATACCTTTTCAACCTTTATTTTAATTTCCAGATAAATTGCAGTAATTGATTGTTGTGAATTCACTTGTGTCCTTTGATAAACTTATGGGAGATGTCTACAGAGATAAACTTATGGGAGATGTGTACAGAGATAAACTTATGGGAGATGTGTACAGAGATATATTCGATGAGCTGATTATGCACCCTTTCAAGTTTTGTGAAAATTAGGATGTTCCCAAAACTCTTCTATTTTTAAAAACAGTAAAGATATCAACAGCCGTTTGTCCACTGCAATCTTCATGGACAAAGTTAATTGTTGTGTTGTGGAAGAGTTCACAAATATCAAGCTAAATTCTGTTAGCAAGTCATTATACTGTAAAATATTAATTTTTGTGTCATGGAAGAGTTCACAAATATCAAGCTAAATTCTGTTAGCAAGTCATTATACTGTAAAATGTTTCCTTGTCTGTGTGTGTGTGCGCATGCATTCGTCCATGTGTGCATGCATGAGTGGGTTAGTGTGTGTGTGTGTGTGTGTGTATGTGTATACACTTGAGTGCGCACATACTGGGGAAAAGCGTGAAACTGTATTTGAAATCATGGAGCCTCCCATAAGAATGAGAGGTGCTGGTAGTGGGTTCAGCTGTGTTTTCCCCAGTGTTTTCTAGCTAAATGGCACAAATCCCAGTTGTGGGGTCCCAGGACAGTAAAGTGAGGATATATGTTCTCTTGCCTGCCAGCTTTTTCCAATGCTATTTGCTGTAGTTATATTATAAAGTTGGGTTTACACCAGTGCTTAACTGGCCAGAAACATAACCAATAGGTAATAACTCAGACATCTTTTTTAACATTCAACTTCAAGATAGTTAGTTTCATTGTGATATATTTGTGTGAATAAAAGGTTTGCTTATTTAAAACCAATTATTTTTAAAAAACTGATGTAACAATAGAAGTTGTGGTGACTGGTGCACTTGCAGCTTGTCCTGCATTTGTATTTCCCTCTCCCTCAGGTGATAATATTAGTGATCACAGGTTCCAGCCGCGTAAAATAGTTTCAGTGGGAAATACTGTGCTCCGCTTGATACTGACCACATATCACTGTGAAGTGCCAGTTGCACAAGGTAATTCCTAGGTTTAGAGCTTCAGTATGCCACAAAGTAATTCCTAGGTTTAGAGCTTCAGTATGCCACAAGGTAATTCCTAGGTTTAGAGCTTCAGTATGCCACAAGGTAATTCCTAGGTTTAGAGTTTCAGTATGCCACAAGGTAATTCCTAAGTTTAGAGTTTCAGTATGCCACAAGGTAATTCCTAGGTTTAGAGCTTCAGTATGCCACAAGGTAATTCCTAGGTTTAGAGCTTCATTATGCCACAAGGTAATTCCTAGGTTTAGAGCTTCATTATGCCACAAGGCAATACCTAGGTTCAGAGCAGTGGTCTCTAACCTTTTTTCAATGCACCCTCCCTCCTCCACCCTCTACACCCCCTTGAGCATATGCCACCTTAACATAGATTTCATACAGGTCATTACACAAAATAGGATTTGCAAATGTTATGCTGACTGGTCAACTATACATAATGTATGTTTTTGCTACCCTGACATTTTTAGCAATTAATATGTCAATAACTTTATTAGTAAAGAACTGAGGAAGTTGTAATTATTGATGCTGTCTCATACAAATTCTTAGTCACATTGCAAATGTAATCCTTGCCCATTTGTTCTGTGCTGAACATTTCTCACACTATGTTCGATGATCAGCAAGTACCCAGCATGACCACATGACTGGGTGCAGTGAAGAAGCAGTCGAGCTAAGTTGATTAAGAAAGCTAGACTGTATAATGCCATCCAGGGTATTTCTCTATCATAGTATTATTATAAAGTAAAATTTAATTGTGTCCAATGTATGTAAACACAAATATTAAAGAAAACTTAATGTTGGGATACTACAGCATAGACACAAGCTCATATTTCTGAGAGGCCACACACTAGAGTGTAGACAATAAACACATCACACTGTGACTGAGAGACTACAGACTAGAAAGTAGACAATGAACACAACTCACTATGTCTGAGAAACTACACACTAGAATGTAGATATTAAACACAGACATTGTGACTGAAAAACTGCACATTAGAGTGTAGACTGAACACAACACACTGTCTGAGAGACTACATACTAAAGTGAAGATTGACCACACAAGACACTGTGACTGAGAGACTACATACTAAAGTGAAGATTGACTACACAAGACACTGTGACTGAGAGACTACAGACTAAAGTGTAGACAATGAACACAACATACTGTGACTGGGAGACTACACACTAGAGTGAAAATTGACCACACAAGACACTGTGACTGAGAGACTACAGACTAAAGTGTAGACAATGAACACAACATACTATGACTGAGAGACTACACACTAGAGCAGGGCTATTCAACTAAGTTTAGCGAGGGGCCAAAATTTGAAAAATGGGGATCGTCACGGGACAGAGGGCTTAACCTTGGCATAGAAAGATCGTAAAATGATACAACTGGTAATGATCTGCAAGCCACTTGCTAGGCCTCTGCACACTAGAGTATAGACAATGAACACAACACACTATGACTAAGAGACTACACACTAGAGTGTAGACAATGAACACAATACACTGTGACTAAGAGACTACACTCTAGAGTATAGACAATGAACACAACACACTATGACTAAGAGACTACACACTAGAGTATAGACAATGAACACAACACACTATGACTAAGAGACTACACACTAGAGTGTAGACAATGAACACAATACACTATGACAAAGAGACTACACACTAGAGTGTAGACAATGAACACAATACATTGTGACTAAGAGACTACACACTAGAGTATAGACAATGAACACAACACACTATGACTAAGAGACTACACACTAGAGTGTAGACAATGAACACAATACACTATGACTAAGAGACTACACACTAGAGTGTAGACAATGAACACAATACACTGTGACTAAGAGACTACACACTAGAGTATAGACAATGAACACAGCACACTATGACTAAGAGACTACACACTAGAGTGTAGACAATGAACACAATACACTGAGACTAAGAGACTACACAATAGAGTATAGACAATTAACACAACACACTATGACAAAGAGACTACACACTAGAGTGTAGACAATGAACACAACACACTATGACTAAGAGACTACACACTAGAGTGTAGACAATGAACACAATACACTATGACTAAGAGACTACACACTAGAGTGTAGACAATGAACACAATACACTATGACTAAGAGACTACACACTAGAGTGTAGACAATGAACACAATACACTGTGACTGAGAGACTACACACTAGAGTGTAGACAATGAACACAACACACTATGACTAAGAGACTACACACTAGAGTGTAGACAATGAACACAATACACTATGACTAAGAGACTACACACTAGAGTGTAGACAATGAACACAACACACTATGACTAAGAGACTACACACTAGAGTGTAGACAATTAACACAACACACTATGACAAAGAGACTACACACTAGAGTGTAGACAATGAACACAACACACTATGACTAAGAGACTACACACTTGAGTATAGACAATGAACACAACACACTATGACTAAGAGACTACACACTAGAGTATAGACAATGAACACAACACACTATGACTAAGAGAATACACTCTAGAGTGTAGACAATAAATACAACAAACTGTGACTGAGAAATTACATACTAGCCTACTTCCCTGTCAATGAAAAATCTGGAACACAGGAGACTTGTGTTGGAGATCACCACCTGAGAATAAAACACCTGTGACACGTGTGCAGTTTGCTATGTTGAAAAGTTCCCCTTATTCGGTTTACCTAGTTTACTGTAAACATGCTAATTATTTGATTTGAATCAGTGTCTGTCTTTTCATATACCGCAAATAAAGCAAAATGAAAACTAAATGCTCGTTTGCATTTTTTTTAAAAACTTATAAGAACATTATTATTAACAGGCTGCATGCCAGATTTCAACAACTGGCACTGAATGTTTGCTGGGTTATGGATTTTTAAAGTTCGGTACAATTTCTGAAATGCACTATAACCTGGTGTACCCGGCTGTCTTATGCTGAAGAATGGCTGGCGCAGACCTTGCCTATGTGTGATAGCAATAGAAAGAACACGTGAAATGTTTTCTTTTTAAATAAAAAATGTATAGAATTTTGTTGGTGCATTTGTTGTAAATCCCCCCCCCCCCCCACTGTTTACTATTTTCTGCAATTTTTTTTTAGTCAGGACTGTTTAATGGAAAGGGGGGGGGGGGGGTGGTGGGGGGGGGGGGGGGGGGGGGGGGGGGTTAAAAAAATCCTGACTAAACAACATGTTGTATTAGTGAACATTTTTGTGTGTTAAATCTTGCAAACTTTTCAAAGGGACACTTAAGAGACATATTTTTAAAATCTTGCTAAATAATAGAGCTGACTGACACAGTAAATTGGTTTTTGTTTTAATCCTGTTTTTTATTTTTTTAAATGCAACGAAAAAGAAATTAAATCAAGTGTACAATTTCTCGCAAAATGCCATTAAAATCTTACAGTGATTATGTCTCCTAGATTTCTTTCATGGATTAAGTTATATAGTTAACTGTAATGATTATGACAAATATATTGTTTGCAAATATGGTCAGAATGTGTCATATTCATTGTGTAACATGAATAATAAAAATAAACCAAAAAACTAAGTATACTTCTCTAACTGTTTCTGTTATTATTTTGTGCATAAATGAATAATTGATCAAAAATATTTTGTAATTTTAGTCCAGCTTTTAATATTAAATGTGCTCTTGTACATTTACAGCAGTCATCTTTTCTGAACAAGGCAAGAGCCAAAATAGAATCAATGTAGCAAAGACATGCAAAAACAACATTCAACTCATCAGTCATGCATAGTGTGGAAAATGAAATGAACTTTCAGTACAAAGGAAGCTGATTAAGACTGGTGGCTAGAAGGTCACTTAGCCGCCTTAAGGTCTTGAGTTTGAATCTACACTGTAGCAGATTGTTTTAAGAAATAACCTTGGCTCCCAGGCTGACCCAGTTAAAAACTGGTAGTAGGTTGTGTCCGGAGAGAGGTCATGATAGCTGGCCTGATGCTGGCAGCATTCACCCACCAGCTGCATGCTGGTCTATGCAATTTGAGTCTAGCATCACATAGCAGACGTACCGCTGGCAGAAGAAAAGTTCTTGACTCACTTGTTGTCAGTGCACATCCTCTTGTGAACTGATAGCTGTTATCTTTTCTGAACAAAGCAAGAGCCAAGCGAAATATAAAGACAGTAAACAAAAGATTCACACACACACACACACACACACACACACAAAATATGTGAGTCCAGATTAAAACGTGTACTCATTCACAGTGTACACAAGGATATGAACTCACTGATACATGAGTAAATGAAATACATACATTCTCTTGGATATATATATACACATACAAATATTGTATTACTGTCATCACAGTGAGCTTGAAGGCACTTCTACCAGTTCACAAACCTAAACTGATTCATCTGAAACACCTCTTATTCTTCCTAATGTCTAAACACTGTGTCTGTATTTCCACTGTGTTCTAAAATATAAAATAATGTGTTCTGCATTTTAGGAACATGCAATAATGACAGTGTGAGTGTGTGTGTCCACACATGCACATACACACACACTTTTATACATATTCTCTTAACATTTTGATGAGGTTAGAGAAGAGATGGAGAATATGAAAAAGTAGTTCTGATTTTCTAACACTGCTAAGCACTTCAAGATTATGAAAGTAAATATGAAAGTTATCATAATATAAAAATCAAAGTAAATAGTTCTCACAGGTGAAGCGAGTGTCCTGTGTGGATTTCAGAGTCATAATACAAATATCTAAGTTACAAGATAAAAATATCTTAGGCAATAGTCTTAAATATCTGAGTTATAAAAGTAACAACATTGCAGGGGTAAAATATACGAAAGCCAATTGATTTTTGCAAAATGGCAATGAGAAGTTTCAAAAGCAACTGGAAATTAAACAAAAATCACTTGCCAAAAATAAATGTCAGCATGGTTTTCTTAATTAGTTTTTTTTCTTCTCTTACACATGATAAAGTGGTTGGCAGTGTATTTTCTTAGGCTAAGATAAATCATTTATCTCTGAAACATGTGAGTGTGATATGAGTAAATTCACACTCTTGATGTGCAATCGTGAGAAACAGGTTTCAGATTTGAAGCTGTGAAATAAAAACTCAGTATATAAATTGTAAAATACAAACCCAAAGATCTAAGTTGTAAAATAATATACAATAAAGAAATATCCAGAATTAATATTTTACATAATTTATTTTCCTGTCTGTAAGAAGATATAAGAACAAGTAGAAATCCCTCTCATAGACAAGTGAGAGCAGTATCAGGGTGAGGACCTACTCTGTGGAAGGTGCATTTTCCAAGTGCTCTTAGGCAAAGCAAACAATAGTAACTGCAACCTGCCAGGCAGGTTGTAAGAGGTGACTAAGAGGGTAGGCTTGGGGTTGACTACCTAACATTTTTTCTTTCTCTCATTGCATCCTTTTTAAAACGCTTTTTTCCAGATTTATATATATTCTTTTATTTCTCTCTATTATACAGAGATATGGGTTTTCCTTACTTCAGTATACCTAAATGAGCTGTCCCCATAAGTCTCTTATTTTCTGTCATGTGAATGTGCTTAGGTTGCTCATCTTGCAGACATTTGAAATCAAATCCTGGCAACTTGTTTTAACCTTACAATAAACTCTAGCCTTACTTTCCTCCTACAACCTAGGTTCATGTATGGAATACACTCCCTGTACATTATGTAATATTTCTTTCCTCCTAGATCATTGTCTCAATTTCAGTTTCTCTCAGGGTTTTAACATACAAACTGCAACTGCTCCAAATACTATGAGAAAGAATTGAAATCTTTAATGCACTCTAGCCAAAAAAAGGACACTGCCCATCTGCTAAGATCAAAGGTTCTTGACACTAAGATTACAATATATACAACACTCACATATTTGGAGTAAAACTTTTAAAAAAATGAACTTCTTTTGCAAACCTTTTGAAAACAGCGTCTTAGAATAAATCTGCAGACCAAGGAAAGATGCAAATATTGAAGAAGGGAGACAGAAACAGAATGCCTAATCTGTACAAATCATCATTAATGACTGCCATTATAAGGGCTAGTAGAGAGAGTGGCAGACAACAGATACACAAACACTACTTAACAAGAGACAGATGAGAGGCAAGTAGGCAGGCCAAGAAGAACATGGAGAGAGAACATTCTGGCAGACCTACAAACACTTTGAGTCACAAGCTGGAAAGAGAAGACCAGTCAACACTGATGAACTGGAGACTGGTGATATCTGCAGCTGAAAAAGAAAAGTTTTAAAATGAATGCCTAAATTTAGTGTGTAAAAATGTAGATTTGCCAGCACATATTCAGTTATACATATACAATAACTCTCCACACAGAACAATCAGCATACAAGAAAGCCAAACCATTTATCGAGTCACAGTTACTGTTGCTCTCACACACAGCAACTGTTGATCATCATCATTGTTGACGTATGTTTCGATATCAAATACACCCTGTGTGGGGGAAATGAAATGAACAAATGTATCAGTTCAAGTTAAGCTAAAATTAAAGTTAAAAGAATCATCTTCAATGCACTGGGTTACCCAGTTTCTATTAGCAGACTAGCTAGCTTCCTGCAAGGGGCATTGCACAAATCACAAACTCCATAGCTCCAGCAATGATCCACAGGGATAACTGCACTAATGAAATGGATGCCGATCTGTGAAATGATCACTTGACCTTCAGAGTGTGAGGCAACTGGTTTGACCACTTTGCCTAAAGATATGTAGAAAAATTTAAGTGCATTGATTGGCAATCACAGAGTAACAGAAAGGAAGATATGCAAATAACTCTTTTGGTACCAAACAAAGCATTATAAGTATCTAGGTCATTCCAAAGAAATATAATGTTGTTGCTGTGTTCTGTCACAGACATTCCCTGAAATAACCCTTTGTGTTGAACCATTAGTTGAATTAGTTCTGCCTCATGGTGCCTATGCTGAACTTCTTGAAGCCAAAATATTTACTGTTTTTTAAGCTTTTCTCCTTGGGATAGAGGTAGTCAAAGTATGGACTTATTGTAACTGAAAGTATTAAGCACTAAGTTACTTGTGGAAGTCACAAGAAATTACACTGAATACCAAACTTAGAATATTTTATTATAATGCTGAATCAGTGCTGCTTTAAGAAACGAAAACGTAGAGAACATCTAAAACAATTACTAATAAGCTACACTCAAAAACTGGTACCTGCATACACAATAGAAGCAATCGAACTGTATAGCAGAATTCTTTATGTGGAACTTAATAAGTAAACTAAACATCTCAGAGAATCAAGAGCTGAGAAGAAGATGTAAAGCACTGTTTAGAACATAGATTTAAAAATTATTTTTAAAAACATAAAAAACAAAAATATGGCTAAAATTCCTTTCCACTAACTTGCAAGATACTCCTACCGCCCCCTTTCCCTTTCTAAAAAAGAACAGAGAGAGAGAGACCACGATATGAAGATATATCTTCATATTTTCTAACCTCTTCTATAAATGAAAATATTCTGTTACCTTTATCTTCTATCACAGTGTTTTTTTTTTTTTTTTTTTGACGCTATGTCTGCCGTCACCTTCATCTCCTATCACCATGTCTTTTCAACACTATGTTTGCTATCAACATTACTTCTGTCAACATATCTTTTTATCACCATGTCAGCTATCATCTTTATCTTTTATCACCATGTCTTTTTATCACCATGTCCGCTATCACTTTTATCTTCCATCACCATGTCTTTTATCTCTATGTCAGCTATCATCTATATCTTCCATCACCATGTCTTTTATCTCTATGTCAGCTATCATCTTTATCTTCCATCACCATGTCTTTTATCTCTATGTCAGCTATCATCTTTATCCTCTATCACCATGTCTTTTATCTCGATGTCAGCTATCATCTTTATCTTCCATCACCATGTCTTTTATCTCTATGTCAGATATCATATTTATCTTCCATCACCATGTCTTTTATCTCTATGTCAGCTATCATCTTTATCTTCCATCACCATGTCTTTTATCTCTATGTCAGCTATCATCTTTATCTTCTGTCACCATGTCTTTTTATCACAATGTTTGCTTGCACCTTTATCTTCCATCACCATGTCTTTTATCTCTATTTTGGCTATCGTTTTTATCTTCTGTCACCATGTCTTTATTTCTATGTCATCTATCATCTTTTTCTTCTATCACTATGTCTTTTATCTCTATGTAATAGAAGCGAGAAGTCCTAAGTACCAAGAAAAAACAAAGGAAAATAGTTTGTTAGGCGGGTGCTAGAAACAGAAATATTCTAGCCCAGACAAGAGATCTTCTGTGTAGAATCTAGATCAGCAGTACAATAAATAAACTAGGCACACTAGCCACAAGTCCTAATCTGAACCAAAAATAACTGGAACTATGATTACCACATTTAACATCTGTTTATTTCACTTAACATAAAATCAGCGTGGTTCACAAATAACATTAACAACATTAACGTGCTCTGCAAGAATCTAAAGTGCTAATCATCTCCAGCTAACAAGGAAATATGATAAGACACCATATGCTCAGCGAGATTACCTCAACAATTGCAAAAACCAAAACATATTTAACATGTACGTTAAGCTTTGATATGGCCACCAGACCAACAAATCACTTATAGCGACCTGCCATCAAACTATCTCCTAGCGAGGATGCACAATAGAAATCAAATCTAACACTACCTAAACAAATGAAACGTACCATTATCGCAAACATGGGCCAGTCCAGCGTCGCTCAGCCGACCGATCTGACACACCTGTGCGTTGAGACTAAATGTAGTCAAACAACGGCAGGCAGGGTGTCTGACCATACCGAGCCGACCACAGAGCGACAGCCAAATAGACTGCTATGAGGCTAAACAAGGTCTTTTATTAACTGATGGCTTCACAATAACTGGGTGGGGGGAGGGGGTGGGGTTGAATGGAGGGCAATACAGGCGTTGACTGACCAGCATGAAGGTAGGTAAAATACATAGAAGACATCTTAGGGAGGCAGAGAAACTGGTGAAGGACTAGAATAAAAGGTTGAAGAGCGTGTCTTCAGGCGGTTTGTAAAGGAGTTCAGCAGGGCAGGTCGAAGCCCATTCATCTGGAACAGACCTTCATGACTGAACACATCAGATGCCTAAAAATATTCAGTGAAAGTTATATACAGTAGTTTATTTTGTTTAGGCTATTGTTATTGCAACTGTCACAATGAGTATCATATCAGAGATAGAAAAAGCCACACTGTGATAACCTGGTTGTTATGACCCCATGCCCTTCATTGTTTTCTCCCAAGTTTTGCAACTTTAATATGGCTAATATACTTTAGTTTCTGAGAAATATGATGTAAAGAAGCCAAAGTACCATTTACTTTAATTTGTTTCTGTGAAAATTGTATCATTCAGTGAATTGTGAATGGCTGATAACCTTCATCTTTGTGATAGGCCATGAAGATGTTTGAGACATCTTGATTGAGACAATCAAGTTACTATGACTGGAACAGCACTGGGCAGGAGAGATATCATCAATGTGATGTGACATGCAATAATGCAAAGATACTTACTACAACTCAGTAATCTCTGACCAGGTTAGTAGATATGGGTGCAACTGGGCAGAAATGAACATCACAATATGGGTACAAAACATGTAGTTAATCATGCATGATCAGTCTTTTCATTCTTGTTGGACTACTGAAGAGTAGATCAGAGTGCTAGGGATCTTGTTGAAACACTGTGATTATAATCACTTATCACCATTCTGAGCATTTATTATTTTAGAATAGATTAATAAACATTTGTGTCTGAATGAGTTCTTATACAAAAAAATTATGTTACAGAAGATGTTAAGGCAATCATTTTAACACTGGAGTGATAAAAAAGCTTGTAAGGGAGCTAAAATCTCTCGTCCCTTCAAAACATACCTGGTATCCGGACAGCTGACTCAAGTCTGGAATGGTGTTATGCAAAGTGATAACTTCTGCAAGCAACAACGATGAAAAACAGAAGAAAGTTAGTGTCCGGTGCATTTGTATATCAAAAAAGACTAGTGAATACACTAGTAATGTACTTAAAACCATCACTATAACAAAAAATTTCAACTTATGGAAATTAATTAGTATTCAAACTTTAAAAAAAAAAAAAATTAGGGAAAATCTACATTCTGTTTTTAATAACCATTCAGACAGCTAACAAAAGGTCTGAATACCTTGGGGACTTGGGCAGTTCTATCCTGCATGACAGATCAACAAGGACAATCTCAGATACTATATACAGTCTCCTACTTACAGACTGAAGTTATATTAGAGCACCTGTCACAGCCACACTAAGTACTGCCATAGTAGTAACTGAAAGCATTACCTACAACAGATATTACAATCACATCTCCAAAGCATCTTCTGTCTAGCTGAGAAAATAACATGTATGCCAACGCTTCACCATTGAATCCTGAGTGTGCCAGTAACTTTCAACCTTTCAATGTGACTTCTGACATTCCCCTATTTTCATGTACAAATACTTAAAAAGGCCAAGTTCTTTATTCTGTTTTTTCTCCCCCTTCAGCCTGTTACCTGAAGGTTTGACCATTCTGTTACTTCAACAGTCCTATCTTAGATGGCAAACCACAGGGCAAAGGCTGAATACCATGTTTAACCTCCTAAGATGTTATAATGGTTGTAATGTTGTAATGGTTACACTGCCTTCTACCCTTATGTACCTTGCAGTATGTGTGGGTAAGGATGTGTAAAGTCCAGGTGAGCTCAGTGCAAAAGAAGTGCTAATGACTGAGAATTAGAACAAAGAGGTAGCTGTCTATCCTTTACATTGTAGAACCAGCCCTGGCATGTTTTGGAATTTTTAGGATAGAATTATTTTTTTTAAATGTTGTTTTAACTTTCAGTAGTTTGCCATTGTTTTCCGATGGTCAGTCCTCATTACAGCTGTCAAAATCAATGCAAAGTGGTCTGCTGCTAAATCTCCCTCAGCTAGGATCAAATCTGGCATCTCGGAATTACGAAGTGTGTTCAAAACACCTAAGTCACAAACATCGAAGAATTAGAATTCAGACCAAAAATGTTTTTTAAATCAACAATCTCTAGAATGTATGTTAGTTTTTATTAACATAATATCTGTTGTTCATCCAGTTAAATTAAATCCTGGAATCTTCTTCTATCAAGAAGCTGTGCTTCACTGATGTTTATCCATGATCAATGTTGCTTGTTCGTTGTTTTATCTTACTATTGCAAGATTCCTTTCATGTGCGGCTTCTCTACTTAATTTCAACAGTTTTCAGGAGGGCATTGTTTGTTAAAGAAGGCAAGTTTAAAGTGTTGTGCTAAACGGTTTAAGATAGTCTGGTTATATTCCTTAGCATACATTTGGTTTATGATCTGTAATATGAGCTAAGAAAAAATAACCATTTGTGATAGTTCAGTGTTTTTGAAAAAAAGTGATCTACTTATTTCATTAATGTGAAAGTTTCACTTACGGCCTTTCTTGAGAGGGCAAGGAATATATTTGACAATCTCCTCACAGCTAAAGGGTGTTCCATACTCCACAACTTTCACATGATCTGCATGTCTGTAGACAGCCACGTCTGCAAACCCACCATCCATATCGTAGGCTAACAGATTGACAAATGACAGCAGCTGATTAAATACGAAAATTACTCTGACTGCACAAAGACTATAGATTTAAAAATTGTACAACTGAGATACACACAAGTTCACTAATGAAGTAATAAAGGCATGTACGGCTGGAAAACAAGATAAAAGTTAATTAATATAAAAAACTGAAAGCATGACTGAAAGGAACAGAAGGTAAAAGTCCACTAATTAAACAAATTAAAGCTAGGCTGGTTGGGACAAAAGGTAAACATTCTTACATCAAATAACTGAAGGCTCCCCATATAGTTTATTTTAAATTAGAAGCATTCACTTATGAATTGTGCAACCTCCTTTATGCTATAATCTGCAATAAATGCAGAAAGGCATATATTTAGGAAACCTGTCAGAAGTTAGAGACAGTTTCCATGAACATATTATAGATATGAACAATGAGGCTCTTAAATCAGTCTTCTTCCATTTTAATAGATCTGACCATAAGGCCAAATAAATAATTCAATTACTGACATAAAATCTTGCTCCAGTGATCAAATCAGCACATACTTCTTTGTTTATTCTTATTGCTCTTCTAAAAAAGTCATGGTCTAATCAGACTTGGCAAGCATCTCATCAGAGGTCCCCATTAGTTAGCGCTCATTGGATATTTTCTTCAAGGGATGCAGGTATGTTGTGATGAGTGATTAGAAAGGATTATCATCACAGCATTCCGGACAGATCCATATGTGCTCCGATCTCCTCCTCAGAAGCTTTACAAGTGTAAAACGACTTATGACACCTGTTCTGTGTTGGTTAATGAAACGTCTTGTCCCCTTAGTAAAATGTTTATTTCCTACAGCTCCAGGCTGCACCCCCATGTCCATCAGTCTAGACAGGGATACGGAGTCATGTCCTTTAGCGTGCTCCTTGGTACAGTAAGTGCAGCGCATGCCATAGATAACATCACTTCTGTCCAGGACTGGGCCAGCCATAGCAACTGCAGTGTAAGCAAGATAGCCATAGTTTCCATTGTAAGGCAATTAGTTGTAACAGCATAGGCGCCATTCATCTATGTTCATCTAGGGTTTTCCCCCTTGAGCTTACTGTGAATGCCCATGCACTTCGCATGCTCCTAATTACTGACCTATCTGTATAAACTATAGCGTCACCTTCATCTATGTTTTCCTAAAAAATTACTGTGGAGCAAGTCAAGATCTCAGCTCAAGGGCACGTACTCCGTAGCGTAGGCTAGAATCCTGGACCGACATTTTCACATGCGGCTGGCCACAGAGGTCATCAATGTTGTTGCTAAGGCTGCCATGACGTTGATTGGCAGCACACCCATTGAATACACACTAAAACCGCAACGCATAATCACCACACAGGCCTCAAACAAATATCTTGCTGTGTAACACATTTCTGCACTGCCTTTGAGTCAATATTTCAGTATGGTCCAAGTGAAATAGGCTGGATAAAACGCAAAATCATGGCTCATGAGCACAAACACAACAACATGCTGCCGTTTTGGAAAACGTAAGGTATGTTGTGAAATGAATAAGCAGACAGACTGGCTGATGCTGCACCACAGAGTTGTGACTTGAGGTGTGACAGTCTAGATATGGTCCAGGCCCCTTGGAAGTAACTGAACAATGTGGAAGTGTGAATGTATCATTACAGTATGGAGAGAAGGGTGCAGCTGGGTGTGACCAGAGGATCTGGCTGACACTTTACACTCACTGGAAAGACAAGGCAGACATATAAACAAAGTGCTGGATATGCAACTCTTTGCTGGCTGCACAAGATAAGGACGGAGTGAATATGGGAATTTCCTAAGTGCTAATTTTTGACTCAGTTTAACTTAGCTCAGCATTGCTCTTATCATAAGAAAAACAAAACACAGGTGCTGCTAAGCACTTATATAAGTGGATGAAAGAAGTAGACAACATAAAAATTTTCAGCTTTTGGGATTTGCACCTGCTTCCTTCAAATGACAACATTGCCTTGTTGAGCTTAAACAACCCATCACCCCTTTAAAAAAGTTTCTTTATCATCTGAGACTATCTTCCACCTGACCCTACAGCTCTGGAATTTGTAAATTATTCTTTTTCAGCCACTAACTCTTTGGGTACCAAGCAATTGTTATTTTAATTTCCTTTATCTCAGCAGCTGAGATAAAAGTAAAATATATTTAGACCTGAACGAGTTCTACAGAGATACTAGGGAACAATAGTTGAACTAAAAATTCAGAAATAAATGGTTATTTTAACATTTGTTTGTTGCAAAAAGGGAGTCGCCGTGGCCGAGTGGCTAGACGCTCGCCGAGGATCGGAAGGTCGTGGGTTCGCTCCCTGGCGTAGCCGGACTTTTTTCAAAAATGACCTTGGCTCCCAGGTCGACCCAGCCCTGAGTGGGTACCGGGTGCAGTCCCGAGAAAGTAAAGGCGGCCAGCGTGATACTGATCACATCACCCATCTTGTGCCGATTAGTCTATACAAATATAGGTCTAGCCCTGTATGCCCTATACACCTTAAGGCGTGGAAAAGGGTCATTTACTTTACTTTTTTGTTGTTGCAAAAAACAGCAAACATTTCTGGAAACACCGAGAAACCTTTGGTGAGCAGTTTGGTACAGAAAAATGTTGAAATAGAACTATACATTTCAGAAATATAATATGTGGTGAACTGAGATAGTTTTAAGATGTTGACACAGCTTGTTTATATATAGACATGAAGTGTTTCTGAGTGAATAAGCAGTGGATATATTTCACACTAGTGCCACAGTGAGCATATGATTGCCAATATTTGACACTAGTGCCACAGTGAGCATATGATTGCCAATATTTGACACTAGTGCCACAGTGAGCATATGATTGCCAATATTTGACACTAGTGCCACAGTGAGCATATGATTGCCAGACCCATTTTGATAGAAACCAATAATGGCTTATGTGCTCAGTATCATGGCAACTACCTTTATTTTCCAGGATGGTATATTTCCTGGTAGCTATTTTAGGCTTTGTCAACCTGGCAGTAAGATCATTTTTTTTTTAAACCACCTGGTATGGTACAAACCCAAGGCTTTTGGCCAGGGAAAATCTAGCCCCTATACTGCTGTGGCTCTGATAATGTCTACGAACTTATCAACAATTTCTGGTAAGCAGCCGAAAAGCATATGACGGTGTAAACAACATTTATTATTTATTTATCATTCATTCTTTTTTGACCACAATCTCATATTACTTACGAGCTGTGAAGTTAACATCAACTGTAACCTGTCCATGGGTGGATATAACTTTAGGAGTCCACATTCCAGACAGTTGTGATTTTCCTGTATAAAAACAATGGAATGGAATTTTATGTTTGGAATTTTACTCTTTCATCCCGAAGAAGCGCATCATACATTCAAAGGCTTCTGCCTAGAAAGAAGCCCAGTGAACACAAGATGTGCAGACTTGACATCTCTTTTCACTACCTCTTAGGTCTCTGATGCCAAACCCCTGGGACTGAAAGAGTTACAACAATTATCCTTCAAACTTTCTTACATTCAATCAAACAAATTATTCACACATTCAAACAATTCAATATTAAATTAGAAAATTGTGTGTAATCAGAGTTTTCTCCTATAAACTTTTTGCATGACAAGCTGGATGTTGTGAGGGCCCTTTGGGAGTGAGTGAACAGTGCTGAGGCCCAGATAGATCAATATGTTCTGAGGGGAATGGCGCTGCGAGGAGTTACAAGCAGACCTGGCGGACACTCGACACTCAGGGGAAAGGCGAGACAGACAGTTGCTGGGACCATGGGTATTTCAACTCCTCGCTTGCTGCTGAAGATGGGGACGGAGCACTTTTTGAGGTGTCTCAAGTGCTGTGATGTTGATTCTTAATTCAACATTCAACATTCCTATAAAAATATGTGAGTCTGCTGTGTTTTTTTTTTAATTTTAATTAAACGTTCTTTAGCTTCAGAAAGTTTAGTTAATACCCAAACTAATTAGTTTTACCCCCCCCCCCCCCCCCCCAGTGTGGATACTGAATTTACACATAATAGGGAAATCCCTGTGTATATTTCATTTAATAGGTGCAAAAGTTCATTAGACTAAGGCTGGATCACTCGAAGGCACAAAAAGTTCCTTCATGAACTTGACTGTAACTGTTGACAAGTAGAGAATGTATTGATCTAAAGTGAAACTAATGAAACTTTTATATAAAGGTCAGGGGAGGCAGACCTTGTTGAAGAAACAATCACGTGAGGGGAGACAGACCTTGCTGAAGAAACAATCACATGAGGGGAGGCAAAGAAACAATCATGTGAGGGGAGGCTGACCTTGTTGAAGAAACAATCACGTGAGGGGAGGCAGACCTTGTTGAAGAAACAATCATGTGAGGGGAGGCAGACCTTGTTGAAGAAACAATCACGTGAGGGGAGACAGACCTTGTTGAAGAAACAATCAGCTAGGACTAATTTACTACAGCTTTGTTTTATTGGTTATCTCTCTAACTTTTTTGGTAACATTTTTTCAGTTTTATGTGATGTGCCTATTACTGCAGCACTAAAGAAAATTGATTCCATTAACAATGGTGCCGGTACTGATTACCATTGCATACTATCATAAAAAAGCCCTTCACTCATACATCACATGAGTTTAGGTTTGTCTAATGGCTACCATCTTCATGAAAGTATTACCAACAATGATGTAACAAAATTTACATTGTATAATGTGTCCTTGGGGAATCACCCTAGCTAGACACTCACTTGCGGATTGGAAGGTCATGGGTTCGTGTCCTGAGGTGGGGCCAGACTTTCTTCAAAAATGACCTTAGCTCCCAGGTCAACCCAGATTTAAGTGGGTACAAGGTACAGTCCTGGAAGGTAACACCGGCGGTGTGATGCTTGCCACATCACCTGCTAAGGGTCCTTTACTTTGTAATGTATCCTTTAGCGGTTATGAATACAGTTTTATAATTCTGACATACCAGGTTAGACTCAGCAGCAGACTACTTTGTGTTGGTATGAGTTTCAACCTTTCAGGTAATGACAAAACTACTAAACATTCAACGGTAATGACAAAACTACTAAACATTCAACAGTCTAGTACTACCAGAGACAGCCAACAAATGCTGGGGTTGTTTGGCAGTGACCTGTAATTACGTTTTTCCCAATTATATCACAGCTCACCACAGTTGGTAAAAACTCCAAAGTCATTCTCAGAAGACACATCAGAGTTTACTACAGACATCTCTTCAACCAGCTTGATATCTCTAGAACTGGCATATGCCACACACAGGACAACAAGCAGAAGCTTCATCATCTAAATTCTCAAATTGTTCTACTGACAACCAACCTGTTGAGACAAACCAAACATTAAGTAAATGAATGTAGGTGTGTAATTATTGAACGTTTAGAAGGAAAAACATGTTTAAACATCTTGTGAGACTGATGCCCAGTCAGCTACTGTTTTGTGCTCACAATCAAAGCAGCTTTGGTTAAGATTTAGAGGAAGAACAAACACTTGATGAATTTTTTAAAGAATGTATTCACTCAGCTGTTATCTCAACAGTGAAAGCTTGCTGTATGGATTTCCACTTCTGTATCTTGCTCTTGTTGTACACTCTTTCTGATTGCTGTTCATCTTTCACTTTGATTATTATCCTCTCTCTTGAGTTACTATATGCATATATCTTTTTAGCCTGCCTTCAACTGTCCCTTCCAAAAGTATAAATCTAAAGAAGAAAAAAGTGTCTTGTTGTCTTTTTTAATGTGTCTTGCTCTTGTTGTACACTCTTTCTGATTGCTGTGAATTCCTCGCTTGATTATTATCCTCTCTATTGTGTTATTATATATATACATATCTTTCTAGCCTGCCTTCAACTGTCCCTTCCAATAAGTATAAGGTAGGTAGCTAGTTGTACCTTCCCAGGACATCACACAAGCGATAAACACCCAGTGACACAAAGTGCTTCCATGCGGATGAGGATCACCGGTGGAGACGTCCCAGAAACCCCTTTCAGCCGTTCAAGACATTTTTATAGCCCGGCTATATTCAGGGCCCCTGGTAGAAGCCAGGGTGGGGCTTAAAAAATTGCATCCCACGAGGGAACGACTATATACAATAAGTATAAATCTACAGAAGAGAAAACTGTTGCTTCTTGTTGTCTTTTTTAATGGTCACAATATTTCACTTGTACCTTGTTTATTTCTTTCAAATTACTGTGTGTGTGTATATATTTATATATATATATTTCTGTTTACATGAAATACAATGTAGGTCTCTGTATCAATTTCTCCAAGGCTTCATAATCATATCGATGTTCTCATTACTGACATAACTTGTTCATTGTCGCGTTTCTGTACCATTCAGTAATGTAGTGTTGGCACTAGTAGGTTAGGTTAGTTGCGTATCCTTTACAGGACGTTGCAGAACCAACCCCAGCAGCCCCTGGCTGTTGTATGTCTTCGCTTGGCAAATTTACGTCCAGTAGTTTGCCATTGCTTCCTGGACGGTCGGCCCCCTGATACCACTGACGAAACCAACGCAAGGCGCATGGCCTGCAGCTGGGATCGAACCTGGCATCTCGGCATTACGAAGCTTTAGCATCGACTTAGCCACAGAGCCGACAACACTAGTAGACGGAAACAGATTGTAGATTTCTGGTGGAAACTTTTTAACCCACACAGTTCTCATATACATGATTTTCAAATCCGCCAAAGAATCCCGGCCTAGGGTCCTTCAGAAACGGGTACTAGCATATACATCAAACAAAGCACAAGAAAGCACAAATAATTTATGACTGATATATAAATAAGCTACTTTTGCATATTATTGGACTTACTGTAAGAACCGTATACGAGCATCCGCTTCTGAGTCTGAATGTATGCAACAGGTCGGTGTTAAATATAACAGACCTCGAACTATCAAATATTGAGGTCAGGGGATTTTCCGAGCCTAAGAATAGCCGCATTTCTTTACACCAGAGTTTCCCAAAAGTGGGCGAGGGGAGGGGCACTTAACAAAACCAAGTAGTGCCGTTAGAACGGTGGAAAGTGTGTGTATGTGTGTGTGTGTATATATATATATATATATATATATATATATATGTGTGTATATATGTATATATATATATATATATATATATATATATATATATATATATATATATATATTTATGGTGCAAGCATAAAAAGAGAAGAGTTTTGAAAAAGAAAAACAGTTCCTATTTTGTTCTTGTGAAAAAGCATCATCATCATCACGTAGCAGGTCCTTTGCAGAACGTCGATCTCATCACAGTCTGCCTGAAAGAAACTCGGTCTCTTGCCAGTACTCCTGCCTTATATACTTTCATACTCAAGGAGTCACTTATATCCTGTGCCCATCTCCGTGTCGGTCGGCCCCTGCCCCTCCTTCCTGGTACCATGCCTTCTGCTATAGTTTTTTCCAATCCGTTGTGGCGCTTGATATGACCAAAATATTTCAGCTTCCGAGAAAGGATGCTGTTTATTAGCTAATCTTCCTTGATGTTCAGATCTTTTAAGATGTCAATATTTCTCCTCTTCTTTGTCCAAGATATTCTGAGTCGCAAAAAGATGGCGATCATTTTCCAGATGAGATTACAAGACGTGAATTACAAATAATCAATTGTTGCTATTATAACATTATTTACAAATATATTAAACAGAAGATTTAACAATAAGCATTCATTTACATTTAACGTAAAGTTCATATTAACTAGTAAGACATCCTTTATTATTATTTTTTAATTCTCACACTATGAATCCTTAGTGGAGGTTCCAGCTTGACTGTAGACTGTTGTTTTCTCACTACTGTCTCCTTCTGTAGACTGGTTGTTTTCTCACAACTGTTCTCCTTCCTGTAGACTGATTGTTATCTCACAACTGTTCTCCTTCCTGTAGACTGATTGTTATCTCACAACTGTTCTCCTTCCTGTAGACTGATTGTTATCTCACAACTGTTCTCCTTCCTGTAGACTGATTGTTTTTTTCACAACTGTTCTCCTTCCTGTAAAGTGGTTGTTTTCTCACAACTGTCTTCTTCCTGTAGACTGGTTGTTATCTCACAACTGTCTTCTTCCTGTAGACTGGTTGTTATCTCACAACTGTCTCCTTCCTGTAGACTGGTTGTTTTCTCACAACTGTCTTCTTCCTGTAGACTGGTTGTTTTCTCACAACTGTCTTCTTCCTGTAGACTGGTTGTTATCTCACAACTGTTCTCCTTCCTGTAGACTGGTTGTTTTCTCACAACTGTTCTCCTTCCTGTAGACTGGTTGTTATCTCACACCTGTTCTCCTTCCTGTAGACTGGTTGTTATCTCACACCTGTTCTCCTTCCTGTAGACTGATTGTTATCTCACAACTGTTCTCCTTCCTGTAGACTGATTGTTTTTTTCACAACTGTTCTCCTACCTGTAGACTGGTTGTTATCTCACAACTGTCTCCTTCCTGTAGACTGGTTATTTTCTCACAACTGTCTTCTTCCTGTAGACTGGTTGTTTTCTCACAACTGTCTTCTTCCTGTAGACTGGTTGTTATCTCACAACTGTCTTCTTCCTGTAGACTGGTTGTTATCTCACAACTGTCTCCTTCCTGTAGACTGGTTGTTATCTCACAACTGTCTTCTTCCTGTAGAGTGGTTGTTATCTCACAACTGTTCTCCTTCCTGTAGACTGGTTGTTTTCTCACCTGGTTGTTTTCTCACAATTGTTCTCCTTCCTGTAGACTGATTGTTTTCTCACAACTGTTCTCCTTCCTATAGACTGGTTGTTTTCTCACAACTGTCTCCTTCCTGTAGACTGGTTGTTGTCTCACAACTGTCTTCTTCCTGTAGACTGGTTGTTATCTCACAACTGTTCTCCTTCCTGTAGACTGGTTGTTATCTCACAACTGTTCTCCTTCCTGTAGACTGGTTGTTATCTCACAACTGTTCTACTTCCTGTAGACTGGTTGTTATCTCACAACTGTTCTCCTTCCTGTAGACTGGTTGTTATCTCACAACTGTTCTCCTTCCTGTAGACTGGTTGTTATCTCACAACTGTTCTCCTTCTTGTAGACTGATTGTTATCTCACAACTTACTCCTTCCTGTAGACTGGTTGTTATCTCACAACTGTTCTCCTTCCTGTAGACTGGTTGTTTTCTCACAACTGTCTCCTTCCTGTAAACTGGTTGTTATCTCACAACTGTACTCCTTCCTGTAGACTGGTTGTTATCTCACAACTGTTCTCCTTCCTGTAGACTGGTTGTTATCTCACAACTGTTCTCCTTCCTGTAGACTGGTTGTTTTCTCACAACTGTTCTCCTTCCTGTAGACTGGTTGTTATCTCACAACTGTACTCCTTCCTGTAGACTGGTTGTTATCTCACAACTGTTCTCCTTCCTGTAGACTGGTTGTTATCTCACAACTGTTCTCCTTCCTGTAGATTGGTTGTTTTCTCACAACTGTTCTCCTTCCTGTAGACTGGTTGTTATCTCACAACTGTTCTCCTTCCTGTAGACTGGTTGTTATCTCACAACTGTTCTCCTTCCTGTAGACTGGTTGTTATCTCACAACTGTCTCCTTCCTGTAGACTGGTTGTTATCTCACAACTGTCTCCTTCCTGTAGAATGGTTGTTTTCTCACAACTGTTCTCCTTCCTGTAGACTGGTTGTTATCTCACAACTGTTCTCCTTCCTGTAGACTGGTTGTTTTCTCACAACTGTTCTCCTTCCTGTAGACTGGTTGTTATCTCACAACTGTCTTCTTCCTGTAGACTGGTTGTTATCTCACAAATGTCTCCTTTCTGTAGACTGGTTGTTATCTCACAACTATCTTCTTCCTGTAGAATGGTTGTTTTCTCACAACTGTCTTCTTCCTGTAGACTGGTTGTTTTCTCACAACTGTTCTCCTTCCTGTAGACTGGTTGTTTTCTCACCTGGTTGTTTTCTCACAACTGTTCTCCTTCCTGTAGACTGGTTGTTTTCTCACAACTGTTCTCCTTCCTATAGACTGGTTGTTTTCTCACAACTGTCTCCTTCCTGTAGACTGGTTGTTGTCTCACAACTGTCTTCTTCCTGTAGACTGGTTGTTATCTCACAACTGTTCTCCTTCGTGTAGACTGGTTGTTATCTCACAACTGTTCTCCTTCCTGTAGACTGGTTGTTATCTCACAACTGTTCTCCTTCCTGTAGACTGGTTGTTATCTCACAACTGTTCTCCTTCCTGTAGACTGGTTGTTATCTCACAACTGTTCTCCTTCCTGTAGACTGGTTGTTATCTCACAACTGTTTTCCTTCCTGCAGACTGATTGTTATCTCACAACT